TGTGCAGACAAAAAATAATTAAGTTCTAGATGATTAACTATACAAATCAGCCCAGACTCTCATCCATCCTAGGGCTCTTTCCATCAAATTTGACTAAAGATATTAGTTAAAAAACGACCAAGGCAAAAAATAAATTTAAAAAAATTATTTTTAAAAGCCAGCAAGAGGGTACCTATCACCATCATTGGAAAGGTTCACAGAAGTAAGCCAGAGAGAGCTCTCCTACCTTGTACAAGGCACAACATACAGAGTCTGGCCCAGCCAGTGGATCTCAAGGAAGACAGAACCAAGCCAAAAGAGGTTCAGATGAGGCTAACAAAGAACATAGGGACAGGAGTACTTCTGGGTCAGACTTTGGCTTTTTTCTAAGTAATGTTCTATCTCAAAAGACATGACTGATCCAAAATATTTTTACTATTTAATTTAATTTAATTTATTTTTTTTTACCGTGAAAATATATATCTGCTGTAGAAGTACCAGAACAGGAGTGGCAGCCCTGGGGGTGGGAAGCTCCCCTCCAAGCCCACAAGTCAAGCACACTTTCATAAAGTGTGTGATAAACTTTAAAAAACCGTAAGTGCGGTGGTTCCGTTCAGATACCCATGAAACGCCTCGGGTGATGCACCACCAGGTGTGAGCGCCGGGGCGGGCCGGGCGCACAGGTGTGCACGCGAGCCCACGTGGGGCATGGCTCGGGACCTCGGGGAACCTTCGCGACGGACGACGCTGGACCCGAGCCTTGCAAGGGGGGGAAGCCAGCCAGACACTGGGCAGTGACGGAGGAAGAGTTCTAGGCAGGGGCCCGGTACCACGGCCGGGGCAGGAGGCAGGCAGGGGAGCAGGGTGCGGGGCGGTGAACTGTGCGGGCAGGACGCCGGGCCGCTGGCCCACGAGCCACACCACTGCCGCAAGGTGCCCGGCTGAACGCGGAGGAGGCCGGCCCTCCTGCGTCTGCAGTGACCTGGGGGTCCACCTGGTGACCTTGGGGTCCGCCCAGTAACCTGGGGGTCCACAGTGACTTGTGGGTCTGCCCGGTGATCTGGGGGTCCACACAGTGACCTTGGGGTCCGCCCAGTGACCTAGGGGTCCACAGTGACCTGGGGGTCCACCCGGTGACCTAGGGCCCACAGTGACCCTGGGATCCGCATAGTGACCTGGGGGTCTGCACAGTGACTTGGGGTCCACACAGTGATCCTGGGGTCCACACAGTGACCTGGGGATCCATATTGACCCTGGGGTCCACACAGTGACCTTGGGGTCCTCCCAGTGACCTGGGGTCCACACAGTGACCTGGGGGTCTGCCCAGTGACCCTGGGGTCCGCCCAGTGACCTGGGGTCCACACAGTGACCTGGGGGTCCGCCTAGTGACCTGGAGGTTCACACAGTAACCTGGGGTCCACACAGTGACCTGGGGTCCGCCCAGTGACCTGGGGTCCACACAGTGACCTGGGGATCCGCCCAGTGACCTGGGGTCCACACAGTGACCTGGGGGCCTGCGCAGTGACCCTGGGGGCCTGCCCAGTGACCCTGGGGTCCACACAGTGACCTGGGGGTCCGCCTAGTGACCTGGAGGTCCACACAATAACCTGGGGATCCACACAGTGACTTGAGGAGCGACCCAGCCTCGGCAGCTGTGGCCTCCCTACCGTGGACTCCACCCTGGAGGCTGGGGAGGTCTGCGGAGATGTGGCGAGCGGCAGACACTGCTCCACGCAGGCGGAGGTCACCCAGGGACTATGCGACCACCACTGTCCTCGCAGGTCAGGGTGCGCTGAGGCCCTGGGCACACACTCCTAAGGGTTTGCCCCAGAGGCAAGAGGGAGGCGGAGGGACAGGAGCTGACGTGGATCTGCCCCCCGAGGAAGGTCCCCGCACCCCTGTGGAGACGGCCGAGAGGGCTGCAAGGCCAGCCTTCCAGAAACCCGGCTGCCCAGGCAGGCACCAGGGATTCACGGGCCTCTGATGGCCCCCTGGCCCAGGGGTGCTAACTCAGAAGCCCATGAGGGCCGAGAAGCTTCTGGAAACAGGACCACAGGTCCAGGGAGAACCAAGAAGCCAGCACCCTGGGCGCTGGAAACTCCACACCAGCCACGTGCTGCCACGTGGGAACGGGGGCATCATGTTCCAGGTCTCCTGATTTTTAAGAGAAGTTATAAATCCAAGCGATATTTTGATATTTCTAGTATTCACTTTTGCATACTTTTTCAGGCCAACAACACACCCGTCAACCGGAAATGGCACACTGGCTACCACTTGGCTGGTCCCGGCCTCTGAGGCAGGGCAGGGCCGCAGTGACTGCGGCAGGGGGCCGTGATTTCACAGCTGCAGAGGCAGCAGGACTTGGGGCTGCGTGCGGGGAGGGCTGGCGGGTCGAGCCTCACTGGAGGCTTTCTGCTCTAATACCCTCACGACTGGTAGAGCCGCCACCAAAGAAAACAAACAAAAAGAGCGGCCAACCCTGGCCAATGATGAAATGGGTATGGGGTGGACGGTGAGAACTCAAACCAGTCAGTCCTGGCCTCCCTGCAGGTTTTCCACCTACAATGCATGGATGGATAAGCCCCCTAGACTGTAGGTACTCGCCTGGAGCCACCAATCTGGGACTCACCTTGTACTGGGGGCAGTTGAGGCTTGGGGAATGTGCTTCACCCAGTGACTCTTCACAGAGCAGAACGGGGATCAGGCCAGAGCCCTGGGTAGCCCCGGGGGGTACTGGAGAGGCACTGGGGGCAGAGGGAAAACCAGGGGGACATGGCAGCTAGGAAAGAGGGAGAAAGGATCAGAAAGGAAGGAGATGCCCAGTGCCACAGGGAAGTCTAGAGAGAATCTGCAGGATCACTGTGCAGGAATTGTGGGGCCTTCTACTTTGGGGAGCTTCTGGCCAGCTCACAGGGAGCGGAGAAGACAGCAGAGAACGAGGGGAAAGGTTAAGTCATTTGAGAAGCCTATAGAGAAACGGTGGTCACTGAAAAGGAGGTGGGGATGCAGGGGCAAGGGAGATTAGGGCATTCTAAAAATAGTTAAATTAGGGAAGCGTTCTCGGGGAGACACTAGGCAGTGCCAAAGGGAGGTCTTCTTTCTAATCTTCCCTAAGTTCCCTGCCCCAGTTTGATTTTTCTTCTATCATTCTACCTTATTCATGTTACCATGGCACAATTATGTTTTGCTGTTTGCCTGTGTCCTCCCACAAGAACGACAGTTCCAAGATAGCAAGAATCTGCTCTACTTATTACACTTTGGGGCCACTCAAAGCGCCTGGACACGGTAGGTGCTGAAGAAGAGGTCTGGGAGGAGGGGGTAAATTTGGAAAAGTTTGTGGGAGGGAAACAGGGTAGGACCTGGAAAGACTTCAACTCAATGGCCCCTCCTGTCCAAGTGGAGTGGGCCCTGAAGTCACCTGTCAAACAGGAAGGAGGGAGGGGAAGAGGTCTCCTGCACTGAGGAAGAGCTGCAGGGGGAGCACCAGTTTGCAGCGTGGAAGGCAGGAGCTGGTGGCCGAGACGCTGGCGTTTCTGATTTCAGAAGATGAGCCTCTCTGAGCCAGGGCAAGACCTGGATGGAGTTAGAGGGCTCGGTTGCCAGAGTGGGTGGAGGTCACTGGATTTGAGATGGTCAAGGAAATGGGAAATAGACCCCCATGTGGCCTTCGGGGCCAGAGGGGGGGAGCAAAAGCCCAGGAGCCAGAGTCCCTGAAAGAGAATGACTGGCTGGCAGAGGATGGCCGCGCGGAGGGGTCGGTGGGACATGGCCCATTTCCAACCCTAGCACCTCGATCTCTCCCTGGCATCTATTCACCCGTGTGCAGAACTTAAGAACTGATGTCCTTTGGAGACTGAGTCATTTCTGTTCTTTCGAAGTCACACTAAAGTGTGTGAAGTTCACAGGAGGCCGGGATTTTCTGCATAGATTCATTTTTTTGTTTAGAATCAAGGGATGGGCGGCATCTTTTTTGACTTTCAGTAATCGCCATACACTACAATGTCTCCGAACACCGTTTGCATCTGAAATCAAAGTTGGGGGGTTGACAAGGCCCTTGGGTCATTCAGGCTAACACCTTCATCCGCACAGCTGGAGAGCATCTCTGCTGAAGTGCTGCACACAGCAGTGATGACTGATGTGGACGTGCAGACGGCATCGGGAGCACCCTCAGTCTCTGAAGCTGCTCTAGTACGCGAATCAGCGATGCTCGCGTCTCTTCCAGGCTATCTCGGCTCAACTTTGGGGGTGAAATCTGCGAGGTACAGAACCATCACGTCAATCGCTCCCGAACAGTTCAGAGCAGTGAGCTGCTTCCCGGCTCGAAGGGGGCGGCCAAGCCTTCCAACACCCTTTTAGGTGGAGGCTACATGGAAGGACGCTGCCTGCAGAGTGGCCACAGCAAGGCTCGGCAGCCTGTGCGCCTCCCCCGGAGACACACGGGAGGCCGTTCCCGTTCATCAGAGACCCCGAAGCCTCCGGCAGCGCCTCGCGCAGCGAGCGCCGGGGGGTGGAGCGCCGCTTCCGAGACAGCCGCCCCGGTGCCCGCGCGGGTCGCGGGCGCATCAGCACCCGGTGCTGCCCCGAGCGTCGGGGTCCTCGTGCCCTCCCTGCGGCCGCCGAGCCCGCGGGTGAAGACGGCGGGACCCTGCCGCGGGGGCTGGAGCGCTCGCACAGGCCGGCGCCGCGCCCGGGGAAGGACCCCGCAGGGCCCCGCAGGACTCGGGGTCCCCGGCGGCGGCGCGCACCCAGGTCCGGGGCGGGGCGCCCGAGCGTCACCCGCGGCTCCCGCGTCCCCTGGGGCGGGCGCACCTCCTGGGCGGCCCGGGTCCGCCGCTCGCGCTCCCCGCGGGCCGGGCACCGAGCCGGGCAGCCCGAGGGGCTCAGAAAGTTGCTCCGCCTCGACGGGGCCGCCCGGGCCCGCAGCCCGCAGCCCGCAGCCCGCAGCCCCGCAAGGTCGCCGGGCGGCCCCCCCCGCCCCCCGGGTGCCCGCGGTCGGCTCGGGGCGCGCAGCCCGTGCTCACCAGCCCGGCTCGGGATCCCGCGGCGGCGGCGGCGGCGGCGGCGGCGGAGGGGGGCGCAGGGCCGAGGCGGCCGGCAGGTCGCGGGAGCGGGAGCGGGAGGCGGCGGCGCCCGCACTGGCCGCGCAGCGGAGCAGCCGAGCAGCCGCGCAGCCGAGCAGCCGAGCAGCGGCGTCCTCAGCGCGAGCAGGGCGGCCGCGCCGGGGGCTTTATCGCCGCGCGCCCGCCCCGCCCCGCCCCCGCCTCCCGCCGCCCCCGCCCCCGGCCCGCCCCGCCCCGCCTTCCCGCCGCCTCCTTTGTGTGCAGCGGCCGCCGCCGCCCGGCGCCCCACGCCCCCTCCCCCCCGCCGCGGCCGCGCGGGGACGCCCCAGGGACTCCACGCCGCGGGGGGCGCCAGGGACGCGCGGGCAGACGCGCGGAGCAGCACATGGCCGCGGGGGTCGGGGGGCCTGGAGGGACCCCGCGGGGGGGGACCCGGCCTGGAGGGACCCCGCGGGAGGGGCGGGGAGACCCGGCCTGGAGGGACCCCGCGGGGGGGGACCCGGCCTGGAGGGATCCCCCGGGAGGGGCGGGGAGACCGGCCTAGAGGGACCCCCCGGGAGGGGCGGGGAGACCCGGCCTGGGGGGACCCCCCTGGGAGGGAGGGGGAGAGGGACCCGGCCTGGAGGGACCCCGCGGGGGGGGACCCGGCCTGGAGGGATCCCCCGGGAGGGGCGGGGAGACCGGCCTGGAGGGACCCCCCGGGAGGGGCGGGGAGACCCGGCCTGGGGGGACCCCCCTGGGAGGGAGGGGGAGAGGGACCCAGCCTGGAGGGACCCCGCGGGGGGGGACCCGGCCTGGAGGGACCCCCCTGGGAGAGGGGGGAGACCGGCCTGGGGGGACCCCGCTGGGGAGGGGGGACCCAGCCTGGAGGGACCCCCCTGGGAGGGGGCGGGAGACCCAGCCTGGGGGGACCCCATGGAGGGGGAGAGGGACCAAGCCTGGAGGGACCCTGCAGGGGACGGGTGGGGGGGGGAGACCCGGCCTGGGGGGACCCTGTGGAAGGGGAGAGGGACCCAGCCTGGAGGGACCCCGCGTGGGGGGACCCCGCTAGGGAGGAGGGCACCCAGCCTGGAGGGAGCCCCACCGGGAGGAACCCAGCCTGGAGGGAGTCCCCCCACCCCCTGGGAGGGAACAAGCCTGGAGGGACCCCCTAGGAGGGGGCGACTCAACCTGGAGAGACCCCGCGGGGGGTGGGACCCAACCTGGAGGGACCCCGCGGGAGGGGGAGGGACCCAGCCTGGAGGGACCCCGCTGGGGAGGGGGCACCCAGCCTGGAGGGACCCAGCCTGGAGGGACCCCGCGGGGGAGGAGGAGACCCAGCGGGAGGGGACCCCCCCCCGGAGGGACCCCGCCCCCGGGAGGAACCCAGCCGGGAGGGACCCCGGGGCTCGCGGCGCGGCCTTGGGACGCTGTCCGGTCGTCCTGGCTGCCCCCTGGGGGAGATGCGGGGCGAGGGGGGCCCGGGAAGGCGCCCCCAGGGGTCCGGGGGGCGGGGATAACGGCGCGGGTCGTGGCCGGGGAGGGGCGACCGCACCCCTGGAGAGGCTTCATAGGGTTCGCGGGTCGCCGTAGGGAATGTAGAAATCCGGGTTGGTGGCTGCGGTGACAGCGCGGCACCCGCAGGGTCCTGAGAACACCGCGCTACCGTCGGTGCCTGCGGCTGCTGGGACCTTGGGCGCGGGAGGCGCAGACCCCGGGGGGGGGTGGCGGGCAGTGTCACCCTGGGGCTCTGGGCTCCGTCACCCCATCTCCTCTGGGCAGCCCTCCCTTCGTCCACTTGGGTGTGTGGGGCGCGACTTTAACGACCTCACTGATGGTGCCGCGGGCCAGAGCCCCCCGCAGCAGGCCCGCGCCCACCTGCCAGAAGCAGATGAAGATAGTGGCATCCGGGCACTAGAGCACCTTGGCTGACCTACAGTTGGTGTGTAGGCGGCCGTGCCAGACGGGGAGTGCGTGTGTTGGGGTGAAGGAGTCCCTTTGAAAAGTGTAAAATCTGGGCCAGCCGGAGGGTATTCACAGCCTCTCCTGTGGGGAAGCCTGCTCTGGGAGGGTTGGCTCTTCAAATAAAAAGGAAGCACCGTCCACAAAAAAGAAAACCTGTTTCATTATTTTACACTCGTGCCTAATATTCATATTTCATCACAGGGCAGGATATAAATGCTTCTTCCTTGCTGTTCTCGCTGCCTAACGTGCTCCCCTCCTTACCCCCCGCCCCCCACATCCTAAGACGGCCTCCCTACAGGCAGGGCACAGCTGCAACATCACCTTCTCTAGGAAACCTTCCCTGACCACTTGAGCGGAAGTCACATCCAACTTTCTCCAACTTACGGCTTTCTTCATCATTTGAATTTTTTTCTTTTTTTATTTTTCTTGGCTGGTTCTCTTCCACCCTTCCTCATTTAGAAAATGTACTTGCAGAAAACGGGGAGAGAAACCAGTTCACCTTGGTTTTCATCTCACTCCGTCCCTAGTGCTGAGAGCCAACAGGGCACACAGTAGTTGCTCCATAGATCTTTGTTGACTGGTGGGTGAACAAGGGCCGGGTGACTCTTGACATGGTAAGTGTGGCTGTGGGGACAGTGTTAGGGTTTCCTCTAGCCTGGTGTGTGTGTGTGTGTGTGTGTGTGGCTGGACCTGGCAGGAATGAAGTGGAGGGGGAAGCCAAAGCCCCAAAACCCAGAGGTGTCTGAGATGCTGGGAGGAGGAGCCTCTTCCAGATGCAAGGTCGTTCAGGGAACTAGTGGATGGAGAGATAAATTAGAACCAGAAAGTGTGGGTAGAACCCAGTGAGGAAAGCCTGCCTGGTTCCCTGCACCCATTTCCACCTGAATAAATTTTTTTAACTGAAAATTTTATTGGGGTAGTTGTAGGTTCTCAGGCGGTCGTAAGAAATAACACAGAGAGGCTCCTGGTGTACTTCGGCCAGTTTTCCCTAATAGTAACGTCTTGCAAAAACTATTACACGATATCCCAACTGGAAGGTTAACATTGATATATTGAGGTGTATCTCAAACCCTTTGGTTAATTTTTTGCAGTTTAAAATTTTGAGTGACGTTGCTCTAGGATCTTGAAGGGATGCACCACTGCTATTTTAAAGGATTCCGGTCTCTTGTTTTCACGGAGCCAACACTTTTTTTTTTTTTTTTTTTTTTTTTTAGGGGGAACATGTTTTATTTTCCCAATTAGGGCGTAATTAGGGTCCGGATTCTTCAGCTATAAAGGATAGTCAGACGTCTTTGGGACTTAACCTCTTTTGTTTACATTTTCACGACTGCCGTGCACCTCCCCGTTCGACCCAGTACTGTCGAAGGAACGTTTTCAGCAATACTGTACGTGACTTGTCGATTCTGAAGTCAGACAGGATGCAGTGTTAACTAATCTGCTAAACTAAGCCCAACCGCGACTGTGCCTTTCTCTCCCCACGGCCATCGGATGGGACTGCCAATGAATGAGTGTGTCCCAAAGGGAAGTGAGTCAAGACAAAGACCCATTCTGCCGCGAGGCTACGCGGGGAATACCAACTATGCCCGTTGCAGCGTGTGCATGGCCGGGCTCGGCGGGCCTTCCCGATGCCAGCCGGCGGGTACAGAAGCAATGGCCTAAGCTTTCCATGACATTCAAGTGGCCAGGCACTTTGACACCCATCATTAGGGGCTGCCCCAAGCAGCCTGGCCCTACCTCCGTTGGTGCCCATGACCCACCATGCTTCTCACATCTGACCCTCTTTGAAGGCTCTTTCTCATACACGCGTGCTTGGAAAGTGTATTTCCTTCCTGTCTCCGCCTGGGTCTTATTTGAGAATTCCCGATGACCCTCCTACCTGCCTCTTCCTTCACGGTTCACACGCACCGCAGAACTTCATCTTGTCCCTCAGACGGCATGGCTTGCCTTCATCCTCAGATAGAGCTTCAGATTGTGTATTCCTTAAAAAAAATTTTTCAAAAAGTGACCTGGAGTTTAGCCAGCTCCAGCCAGTCTCGGAGCTTGGCTTTGTGTCCATAAGCCACAGTGGAGAGAAACGCACGAAATGCCCAAACAGAATAAAACAAATGATCTATTTAGTCTCGTTTCCTCTCTTGGAAGAGATCCAGCGTTGAGTGCTTTGGACGAAGATGAAAATCCCCCTGCCCCGCCCCCACTGCTCCCCCTACACCCAAACAGTATGACCTTGTATTTAAGGGAGAACTGTCCCCACTTCCCAATGGGCAATGGTGTTTTGTCTGGAAGAGTGACCAATGTCACGATAGTAAGATAACAGTGGTCCCTCCTCCGCTATCTAACCCCGATTTAAAACACATTATGCCACAAGACTACTTGTTACACAACCTGATGGATGTAAATGTTGTTATGTAAGATTGTTTCAACTGGGGGAGAGGAGGAGACTGGCTATAACAGTTCACTTAGACAATTAGTTGCTGGGACTGTTGCATCAGTGTGATTTTGTGTTTTAAGCTTACAAAGGACATTTGTCTTTTCATCTTCCTCACTGGGAAATAAATCCAATTTATTCTAAATAAATCCAATCTTCTCTTTCTGTAACTTCTGAAACAGCTGAAACCAGAGCATCTATTCACACTTGCCCATGGTCACTACTTTTCACAGGAGCCTTAGAGAAAACACATCCGCAAGTGCCGCGCTATCATTCTGGCTCCTTCTGTTTGGCCACAGGGGGCGGAAAGCCCTGGGTGCTGAGCATCACTGCCGTGCTGCCTCCTGCAACCCCCAGCTGGGGTCTTCTCTTCACCAGCCAACAGCGGTCGCCTGCTGGCTGGGGCTGCCTCCTTGCCGGTTGCTGCAGCTTCTCCGGGACTCCTTAGCATCTTCTCTCCCAGTTTTGTAGCCAGCCTTTCTCTTCCCCCTGCGGACCCCGCACCCCCACCCCGTGCGCTGCTCTGGGGGCTTCCCGCATGGTCCTCTCCCCTGCATACTCCTGCAATGGGCTGATCCTTGCCCGGTGGTGGCCACGCAGCATCCACCCCTCCTCCCGCCTCCACTTGAGAGCCAAGTCTGGTTTCACTTGGAAGGTCATCTCTCCTGCCGTAGGTGCCACCTGGCCAGGAATGGGAGACGGGGTGTCCTTGCTCCGTTTAGCCAAGCTGTGGGTGCGTGGCCAAGCCCG